TAATGAATATTTATTACTAGTTTTATTATAATTTTAATGTTATTTTTTTTTTCTCTCGATTTAAAAAGTAACAATCGCGTTAGCTGATTATCCGGGTTTAAATCCGATAGTGACATCTTTCAAAAATGACAATTCAACACACAATACAAAATTTAAAAAAGACACTCCAAATTTACGGTCACTTCGATTGTTATTAATAGATACACTAACGGTTGATCCCATGATAAATGAAATCATAGCTGAAAAGTTTTTAAATCCATTAGGGGTAAAATATCCACTAGATGTAATAACACCATTAATTAGTTTACCAGAACATGGAGGCATGATACTTAGTTTTGGTGATTTATTGGGAGTTAAAGGACTTGATGATCGTAATGAAGGTCAAAGAGGAGTGAAAGAATTTTTCTTGAGCAGGGAAGGGTTGAAAGAGAATAAGGTTATTATATGGTCTGGTGAGGGAGGAAAAAAAAAGGATAAAAGGTTTATAAGAGTTGGTGCATTTGGATTTGTAATGCCAGAAGGTACGCTAATTATGATTTAATTACATGAGATCCTAGCTTTGTAATACATAGTAATACGTATCACATGACCAAATTGGTATTTACAACTTATTTTAATAGCAACCATAGCAGTAGTAGATCCAGAGACAAGAGCACTATGTCTTCCGGATACAGTAGGAGAAATATGGGTAGATTCGCCTTCACTATCTGGAGGGTTTTGGAATTTAGCTAATCATACCGAATCAATATTTCATGCTCGACCAATATTCGTACCACCTGACACCTCAAAACCAGAATATTTTGAACAAGAATTTCTAAGAACCGGGTTATTAGGATCATTAATTAACGGACAATTGGTAGTATTTGGATTGTATGAACATAGAATAAGACAATTTATTGAAATTAAACCGGTAGAAGCTCCTAAAAAATTAAAAGTAATTAATCGAGGGGAAGATGATAATGAAGATGGAAGTACTTATAATGAGGTGGAAGAAGAAAAAAAATTGGAGAGATGGAAATTTCATTATACGTTAGATTTGGAAACTACTGCTAAAAGAATG